ATACTGCTAGTCAGTTATTATAAGTAGATTAAGTGACTTAAATTAAGTACATGTTCACACCTCTCAAAATGATGTTGAACTTTGATTGGTTGCTTAACACGTCAGCCAGTTTAACACCCCGCAAAAGGAGTCCAGGACTTCAGTCATGCCTGACTTTGAACACCTTGGCTGTGTGAAGTCCAGGTTCTTTACCGGATTTATAAATCCCAACATTATTGACCCAGTCAAAAGACATAAAATTCCCTGCCTTGAAACAAGAAAGCTGATGTTGGGCAGTAAATGTGACTTTCATACTCCAACATGCCAAACAGATGTACTAAATCTCCATATTTGGGTCTGCAGTGTAATTCGCAGCATATAAGTAGAGCGGCTCAGCACCACCACAGATTATTGCAGATGAAAGTTGCTTACAGCACTCGCATCGGCTGATTTTTCTGAGGTTTGACTTGAGGTTAGAGGAGGTGACACTATAGCAACCGATTTGAAAACACTACAAGTGCATTGCAAATTAGAATTGACTCAAGCAACTCACCTTTGACCTTTAGGATAAGAACTGCCCTGTTTCTGTGGCTCTGACTCCACTAAGATCTGCCCAGGGATGATGGTTTTGGCTTGACATAAGGAACAGAATTGCTTTGCCCCTCCCATTAACTTTTTTGGAATTAGAGGCAATGCAGATGTTAAGTGCCTTTACAGAACTGTGCTTGCACCGGCCCTTTATGTCCACGGACATTAAAACCATGAGACTTAAATCTGGCCCGACATTACACAGGCAGTGGTGTGTACTGTAGGCGATGTACTAAAGCTCATGTGATTTTGGCGTACTTCGCCTTCCACCCACGCGGTCTTGACGAGGTCTCGCCTTTGCCTACAGTAGCTGAGCATAATGGCAGCTCTTGGCTTGTGAAGCCGCCTGATTTCGCCAGACAGCACTGCTCTTTTCTCACTGCTGTGGTTTAGGTTTGGCTCATGGCATGTGGGGGATTTGAGACATTGGAAAGGCATTTCCCTGTGTGACCACAAAGTCTTGCCCTCCTGTGTGAGAATGAGGCAGGTTCTGGCACCCAGACTCTGCTAATGAAAGATTTAATTTCAGTTAAGGGCTATAGGAGGGTCACTCACTTTCCATCTGACATAATGCAGATCACGAACGTGCTGTTGTTTTATTTGGTTACCTAGCTGTGTTGTCTGGGCCACACAGGGAACGTTGAGTTTGTGACAAAGGCTGAATCTTCCTATGCGCTCGCAATTTCCGCTGTGTCTAATCGTCTCCACATCCAACATAAGGCCTGAATTATCAGACGTCTGAATCACCTGTATTCTGCCAGTTGTTTTGGTTTGTTTGCGGCTATTTTTGGAGACATTATGCGATCGCTCTGAGCGTTGAGTTTCCCCATGACTCCCACCTTAAGTTCAATGTCCATGTGTGCGAATACAGTTTTGATTCTCGGTTCGCTCATTCTCTGCACCCTCACCCAAATAAACCCTCCATGCAGGTCCAAAGGAAATCGAGTCTTATTTGAGATATGTGATCCTCTCACAAATAGTTTTTGGTTTACATCAGGAGACGTTCCAAGAGGTTTGTATTAATTTTAAAACAAAACAGAGCAAAAGGTATTGTGAAGGCTCTCACGTAAGAAGGAAGGGTGGAAAGGTCATACATAGTTGTATAGCAAATCCTCGTCCTAAAATGGCAACGTCGTAACCTCTACTCAGAACCTAAGGACTGTGGTCTGTTTAACGAGTGTGTGCTGTGTTCAAAAGCAGTTTGTTCCTGGGCTTTAATAGATTTAGTCTGTGGGTAGGGTCACTGGTTCCCCTGAGGGAGGTTATTGCCTTGTAAACTGTGTTAACATGTATGTTAATGTTACTGTATTTCACTACAGGATATGAAGTCCCCAAAGTCCTGCAGCCGCTGCATGAGACTCCATTTCAAATTTACAACTTTTAATGATTTGTTTGGCACAATTTGGGAGCATAGTTAATATTTTTATTGTTATTAGAGATTTTTCAAGGGTGATATCAGAAGTTTCAGACCCATTTCTGGCAATGTGACAGTTAGCATTTTAATAAAAGCTTGTCTCGGAATGTGTTGTCTTGGTCAGTGGTAATGTTCACTGATTTGTTAAAGATGAATTCTATAAAGTTAGTGTTGGTAACATGTTAGAAATTTCTAAAGTAAATAAACACTGTATTCAATGGTTTTGATAATATGCACATAAAAAAAGAAAATTTCTTTTAAAAGATAATTAAAGGACTTGATAAAACCTCCATTATCATTTTCCAAATTAGTATTAATATTATTAATAATATAATCAGTGGTGTAAAGTAACAAATTACAAATACTCAAACTACTGTAATTGAGTAGTTTTTCTCTTAAATTTACTAAGTATTTTAAAAAATGTGAACTTTTACCTTGCATTAAGTACATTTTTAATGTTGTATTGGTACTTTTACTCCACTACTTTCCTTCAATCTGCAGTTACTACTTTTTTTTTCTTCTTGTCTATGGGGATTAGAAAATTCAGTCCTGTGATTCCTGTCCAATCAAATTGAACATAGAAAATAAATCGCATCATACTGAACTACTTCAAGACATGGGCGATTTATAATTGCAACAAACTATAATTGTTTTTGAACCGTTAAAAGTGTTCAAGAAGATGTCCAAAATCTTTACGCGCATTGACCCAGAGACTTTTAAGATAAATGTCGCTAATGAGAAGATGACGGATGTTGTATGATGACCAGAATGGCCTTAAACACCCAGAAAGCACAAAACGTCAACATGACGTCAGTTTGACATTGCACCCCAACTTCGTGGGAACGTTGCATTTTGTTTGGAAATGAATATCGGGTTGACTTCAACATCCAACCTAAAATCAACCAAATACCAACATCTAATGATGTTACAGCTTGATATTATGTGGATACTACCACTATGATGTTATCAGATATTGGATTTTGGTTGTCAGTATTTGACGTCAATATTTGATGTTAATATGATATTGGTTTAAGATGTTGGCTCGACGTTGGATTTTGATCACTGTCTAACACAACCTAAAATCAACCAAATATCAGCGTCATTTGATGTCATTATTGAACATCAAAATAGGCTAGACATTGAATTTTGTTCACCTGACATCACAACCTAATTCTAACCTAATATTAACGTCTTATGACTTTGTGTGCCTGCTGGGCAAAAACCAAATGCACTACAGAATGTTACGTATATACACATCCACAAATTACATGTAAATGCATCAGCTTTTAACAGCGTAATACTCACTTCTCACTACTCTTGAAAGGTCTACGTTTTACTCATACTTTGAGTAATATTTACAGATACTTTTACTCTACTTGCACTACATGTTTAGGCAAGTAATGGTACTTTTACTGAAGTATGATTTTTTTAGTACTCTTTCTACCACTAAATATATTCAAATATTTTATTTAAAAAATAAGCAGTCTGGCCATTAATATTCAAAAAGCTTCCAGTTGTCTAACTGTAGTGCTGAAAAATAAACAGGCAAATCATTGCTAAGACTTGACAGTGGATATCAAGTATATTAAACTTAGATTGTCTTGAGCTGTGCTCCAGATGCACACATTATACTGTACTATAAATATTGTTAATTGACTGTTTAGAAATTAAATGAGAAACATGCTAACCAACCAGCTGCAATTAGCACATGGTCACATGAGGTCAGCCTTGGGAGAAGTTGTAATGATCGTACCAAGAATCTAGACTGCAGTAAACCCCATTTAAGAACATGGAGGAACCTTGGAGCTCCAGACGACCTGATCACTCTGGCTGATAAGCGACCGCAGATTGCAGCTGCAGCAGTAGCTCTGGACTGATTTGCTGCTTGGTTAAGAGGCAAAGAAAAACACCAGCTCGGGCCTGCAAGTTTGTTGGCGGTAAAATCTGGAGCATGTTTGCTTTACTGGTGCGAGCTCGGACACTGGTCCGCATTCCACTGACCCCCACTTCACTGTGTTTTCACAGGAAATAAACAGAGGCTTGTTGCGGCGGCGTTATCACTCCCTGTCTGTTTGGAGTGGAACCAAGAGCTACAAATCTGCAGAACCGCCCAGTGGCAGGCGAGATGGGAATAACTCATCAGGTAACTGTGCACAGTCGTTTTCAAGGGGTGACTGAGTAAAGGTGATTGTATTCAGTGTGAAAGGAATCAGGGCCAAGTGTGCAATCACTCTCCGATTAGACTGATCTGATTTTCCCTCCACAAGTAGGGAAAAATCATTCTGCATTTCTGAAGCAGCATGTCATTCACAGAATTTTCTTCAATAATAAGCAGATCTGATATAAGAACGATGGCAAGGCTTTACCAAGTAAGGTAAGAGCTCCGGTGGAAGATTATTTACATCTTTAAAGTCAGCATGAAATCGAATTCACTCTACCTGTAGACTAATGCATCTAATTGAATGAACTGCATCTAATGGAAAATGCATCTAAATGAGATGCATTGTCTTGTTTTCATTGTCATGAAATGTCTTGTTTTATTCATTCTTTTTTTTTTTTCAGAGGTTTGTCTTTAGTGACATATTCCAGATTTTCCAAACATTTAATCTTACTGAAATGTTGTATTATATACATTTTTTAAAGTCCACTGTAAGCCTGCACCAATGCTTGCAACCCAGGTTTATTCAGCCAACCAGGCCAGCTAATGTGGTCTCCAGAAATGTAGACAGGGGTACATGTCCACAATGAGCCTGTGTTACAACACTTGACATTGCTCATGCACAATGGTGCCACAATTATACTCAAGTAAAAGTACCATTACTTGCCAAAAATGTAGTGCAAGCAAAGTAAAAGTATCTGTTGTAAATATTACTCAAAATTTGAGTAAAAAGTAGCCCTTTTAAAAATACTCAAGATAAGTGAGTATTACACAATTTGTGCATATGCTTGAAAATGTAACATTATGTAGTGCATTTGGTTATTGTTTTAGGGCATTTGGTGATTTCAGTCATCATGCAGTAAACATCCTTCATCTTCTCATCTGGTGTAAAGATTTTGGACATCTTGGACACGTTTAATGTTTCCAGATGACTTGCTGGATTTATAAAGTGGCCGTGTCTTGAGGTTGTTTAGTATGGTGTGATTCACTTTCTATGTGCAATTTGATGCAAATCGCAGTACTGATTTTTCTACTCAGCCAGTTATCATAGACAAGAAAAAATAAAGTAGTGACTGCAGGTTGAGGGAAAATAATGGAGTAAAACTACCGGCACTGCACTAAAAATGTACTTAAGGGAAAGTAAAAGTACACGTTTTAAAACTACTTAGTAAATTACAACTCCTGAGGAAACAACTCAATACAGTACAGAATTTCCAATTTATAATCTAAAAATGATGAAGCATTTAAATGTTTTTACAGCTTTTTGTTGAACATTGTTTTACAGGACTTCTGGCATCCTGTAATGCCAGAATCTGGCATCCCACATTAAAAGTGCAACACAAAACCAGGTAAGCTGCAGAACAAGTTTACTACAAAGGAAAAGCCATATGGACACTCAATTGGGGGTAGTGGCGTAATTTTTCTTTACCCAGCCTGGGGTGCGTTTCCAAAAAACAATGACGTAACTCGCCGCTGAACTATCATAGTATGATGCATCGTTTGGGAAAAGAGCAAGGTAGTGACGAGTGTTTCCCAAAACCTGTAGTTTCTCTGTCGCAGATTGATCATTTGAACCATGTTAGTTATAATGTAAAACCAACACAATCTCACGGCAATTCGTAACTTTTTCATTTAGTGGCTAATTCGTATGAATTCGTACGATCTAATTCGTACAATTTAGTACGATTTGCTTTTCCCCCAATGACGGTTGGGGTTAGGGGTGGGGTTAGGTGCCACGCCTCCTTTTTAAAATCGTATCATTTCGTACGACTGAAATCGTACGAATTCGTACGAATTAGCCACTAAACTAGCAAAACGTAAAAAACTTACGTTTTCTCGTGAGATCAGGCTGTGTAAAACACCCATAATTATTCTCTAAACGGGGTGGAGTAACAATGTCTTTAGAAAAGAACCTCATAATTTCTTTGTGCAAATTTTATTGTTTTACACGCACACACAAAAAAAAATCCAATATTAGTTTTGGTAAAAACACGCACTTGCTTTTCATATTAATTGAAATATATATAAACGTCACATACACATTAGAGTCAATGTTTTATTCATTCATTCATTTTCATTTTCGCTTAGTCCCTTTATTAATCCGGGGTCGCCACCGCGGAATGAACTGCCAACTTATCCAGCACTTTTTTTTTACACAGCGGATCCCTTTCAGCCGCAATGGATCTCAGGGAAACATCCACACACATTCATTCACACTTATACACTACAGACAACTTAGCCAACCCAATTCACCTGTACCACATGTCTTTGGACTGTGGGGGAAACCAGAGCACCCAGAGGAAACCTACGTGAACGCAGGGAGAACATGCAAACTCCACACAGAAACGCCAACTGACCCAACCGAGGCTCAAATCAGCGACCTTCTTGCTGTGAGGCGACAGCACTACCTACTGCGCCACTGCGTCACTAAGCCAATGTTTCTTTTACAAATATTATTGAGATAATTCCTTGTTCTATTCTAAAATATAAAGTCAATTATAAAGTTAACACATATTCTTATCAAATATAAATCAAATAAATAAATAATGAGGCTATTTATTAAGAAATGAAATGTTATATTTATTATTTGTTAGGAAATGAAAAAGTCCTATTATAACAATATTAATAATGATGATGATGATTATTATTATTAAGTAGGATATTGTTTATTTATTTTTTGAAAAGTCGACTTTTACAATTTGACATGCAAACCACTACAGAAATGTTCTGACCAACAGGCCTATGTCATGTACAGTACAGATACTTAATAAATAACCTGCTATAAATTAAAAGCACTAACGTGTGCTATGTTTTTTTGTTTTCACAAGCTTTGGAGACGTAACATAAATTGCGCTTTTAAATAATAGGTCACCCATACCTTTTGTCATGGCTATGGCTCCAAATTTAAATGTCAGAATCTTCTAAATGAATATGGCATAGGGGGTATAACTGGGAATAGAACACAGCCAAGGACTATGCATCTAAATACAGCTCTAGAGGTGTAGTTACAGGCGTACAATTTTGCGACGCTGTTTGCAAATGTTCGTTGGAGCAATGGACTTGGGAAACGCCTATAAAAGAACTATGTTTGTAACGACGGAACTTGCAACCTTAGTTGGCTAACGATGATTTGCGGAACTGCACCCTTGGATAGCAAGCAATGTATATGGGGCAGATTTCATATACAGCACTTATTTTTCTTTTTTTATCATCCTAATTTTTTTGAGCAAATATTTTTTGAGCAGTTCTGAACAAATCACCTGTTTGTGCTCTATGTGGAGCTCGATGTCTGTTTTCCATTTTCACTCTTTTTGCAGCCAATCAAGTACAGGAAATTTTGTTGTTGATTGTTTGGAAGATTTTTTTAGTTGTATGCTGCCGTTTGCCAGCCCACTGTTGATTTAGTGTGCCTGATCACATCTCACACACACACACAACACACACACTCATTCATTAGGTCTTTATAGTCCACGGCTCTCTGCACACTCACATTGATCTGTGTGTACACAGAGTTAATGGGTCAGATTAGAGGAGAGCAGTACAGTAATAGCTGCCCCCTCAGATGTAACACTGTGGTTAAACCAGCGAAGCTCATTAGCTCTGTCCCTGAAAGGCAGACCATTTGCATTTCAGTCTCAATGTGGGAACAATTTAGCCGTCTAATTGAACAGATCAACGAGGGTGCCGTCACCAACTTCTCTCACCCGCTTTTTTTTTTTTTTTACATTCTGCCTTTCATTATCGCTGTTCTTTAAACTCTCTGCATGATTTTAGCTGCAGCTTTGAGTTATGTTAACTTCAGCAGTATGAATATCTAAACATTTTCTTGATTACCCTACAATGGACAAAGAGATATGTACATGCCAACTGCTATCAGCAGAGCAGCATTTCAGAAAGATAAGTCCTCGTATCTGGTTACCTTTCTAAATCATAAAGTAAACTATTTTCTGTTTGTATTTATGTAGACAGTCTGGAGATGTTTTCGCAGTGGGATGGTTTGGCAACGGCGAGAATCCCTAGTGAGGGAGAAAGAAAAATGACGGGCAGCGGAGGGAGGAATGAAGTCTCATTTGGCAAGAGACTCAAACACCCACCCACCCACATACAGGAGAACAAGGACCCAGTTGGCTGAGGTTTCTGATAAACCACTGCAGTGTGGGAAAGCTCATCACTCATCTTCAAATGGTTATCAGAAAAAAAGCTAAAGAGCACACACTGGGAGTCTGTTTGGGGAAAAACTTCCAGTAGATACAAAAGAACCTGTGCTCACACTCACATGCGTATTTCATTCACAGGTCAGGCAAATGTTGTAAAGACATTATTTTATTCAACCTAAAAGTATACATAGTTTGACAGAGCAGCAGTTTGGATGGACTGGGATATACTGTCTAACGTTTGCATTTGTACATACCATTATGCCCTTCATGAATGTTCTAATATAAGATCATATCACCAACCTGATTTCACCAAGTAAGATATGTTCCTGGATTAACATCTATATTGATCCTGGAACAACATTCCAATCAGCCAATCAGAATTAGGGGCCCTTTTACTGTTTATGTTAATTTAGGCTTAGTTACTGCTATTCAACTATAACCCCCCTCTGATTTTTAGAATAATTTACAGTTATGGTTGGGTTTAGGGGTAGGGAATAGGTATGGATTATATTTTTGAACAAAAATTATGTACCAGGATCAACATAGATGTTAATCCAGGATCACATCGTATTTGGCAAAATCATGACATGCACATATCACATGTGAATAGTGTCTTCAAAACAGAAAGTTCATAGATTGTTATGCTTGTTGAATCATTGGCTCAGTCAAAATGTGTTGACAATGAAATCAAATGTATTTAATTAATTGTAAAAAATAAATGTTTAAAGACATGAGGCTCAGATTGCTTCCATACAATTATTTAGAAACAAAAGCTTTAGCTATTGCTCAGCCAGGCAGACTCATAATAAGTCATTCATAATAATTATCTCGTCAGCCTATAATGACAAAGCGCTCTACATATAGGCTCATCTTAACAATCTGTTTCTCTGTACGTGAGGTCGGCCTAGTCTCCACTCGGGGATTGGCTTCGCCCTGTCTTCATCTTCACATCACATTTGAATAAATAAGTCAGATTTTATAGACAGACCCTTAGTACTATTAGTTTCAACTATATTTTATTAACTGCCGAATCAGAACCAACAATAAGAGGGTTACCGTTCCTAAACGTCCTAAGGAGGATACTGTAGGTTTCTTTCATGTCTCAAAGGGAGTGTTTGGCTGAACATTGTGTGTTCAGGCCTCAAGTACATTGAAACTGTCAGAGGCAATGTTTTTGATCAAAAAGCTATGATTTGAACTTAAAGTGATTGGCTTACAGAGAAACCAGAGGACCCAAAAGTAGAAGAACTACTTGGCATCTTCCAGTGAAACCCAATAAGAAAAAAACTGAATGTGTTACTGTTCCTGTTTTTCTTGTCATGCTTGGAGCTCTAATAATGCCGTAATCTTGTTAAATTGTTCCTCTTCTCGTTATCGTGATCTCCTCTGGAGTTTTAGTCATAGCTTATTTTTCCTGAGAGACTAGGAAATATGATTTTCAGAGGAGTATTAATCAGATTTTAGTATTAATCAGACTCATTTCAGAGATTAGCAAAATCCCTTGTCGAAACAAATGACTGACCTCAGCTGAACGCAGACTCTCATTGTTATTCCTCAGACAACAGGGATGAAGCCTCCAACCTTCTCTTCGCTTTCTCCATCTTTTCTTCTATCTATCTCTCTATCACTGACATCACAGTGGAAGCCTTTGACTTCCTGTTCCCTGGACGGCCTCAACTTCTGGAAATCTTGCGTTGAACTTTTGATGTCTTCCGCAGTTTTGGCATAGCTGCAGGGTGTAGGTGATTGAGAAATCTCATCTCTGGTCACAAGAGACACAGACATCATGAGTCCTAAGTTGTTTTTGTTGATAGGATCATGGAAAATGTGAATATGTATAGTTTCAGATGGAGCTCTAATCAGAAGCCTTACAGTCATTTCGGACTCGGCCTGCCGCACTAGACTAATTTCATTGAGATTTGTTTTGATTTGTTTTGATTTTTGTTTTGAGATTTTTATCCACAAAAAAATGTGATATGTTCAGTGTGCATGAGCGGAGGGAAAAGGGAGAGAGCGAATAAGCCAGACAGATCCAGATGGATGCTATTTTTGATTTGTGGGAAAACATTTTTGCTTTTTACCTTCCTGCAAAGAAATAGATTACAACTGAAGAAACCCCAAGTACTCAGATAACATCGCAGAGTAATCCCAATCTGGCATGGCCACTGAACAAAAGAAATGGGAAAAGACAGTCATACAGACAAAAAGACAGTGAAAACAAAAAGGCCAAGAGGGAATGATGAAGGAAAATTGAGAGATAGGGAGAGAAAAAAATAAGTTTAAAAGTAAGAAAGAGGATGACACGCTGAAAGATGTAATGTTGTAGGTATGCTTGTCATCGCTTGGCGGGACGGATGTTTCACACAGCTCATGTGAAGTTATATGCCTACGAGGACCTCTGCTGGAATAAACCGGTAATTCACTGCACGATTTGATGATATTTAATTCCCAAGAAAATTCTTAATTTTCCTTTACTCATACACACAGTTATTATAATTAACACAGAGTTGTTTATCGCGGATCAGTCATCAATTTTGAACTGTATGTATATATATATATATATATATATATTTTTTTTTTTTTTTTTTTTTTTTTTTTGATAAATTGATTACTACCAAGTCTGTTTTTAAGCTCTCAAGTCAGCCAACCTACATGGAGAGCTAATTGGACTGCAACTGTAGGACTGCAGGAACTGCAGGAAAGCCATCCATATGGGGTAAGCAGTCAGCTGGTAATCACGAAAAGAAACGGTGTTATACCGTGCCATATCGTTCGTTTTAAACCTGAGATGCAGCAATACAGTGCTCAGCATAATTGAGTACACCCCATTTTGAAAAAAAAAATATTTGTATCCATATCTCAGTGAATTTAGGCAATGCATTTTGGTGCATTTAAACAAAACAGATTTATTAAACAGATATATTTATTTAACTAATATTTTAATTACCAAACATATTTAGAAATTGAAAGATAATATAATTAAATTCAAACAAAACATTACAAAAAAGATGACAACCTACAAAACTTTTCAATGTTTTTGCTTCTCTTGATTTTTCCTCTTTATTTTTATTTGTATTTAATATTTTTCTATTACTTAACATTTAGGTGTACTATTTTTGGACCGTTATCATAAGTTACTTTGTTAGATAAGCTCCAGACTAATCTAGGTGACAAATCTAATGCATATGCACAAATAAAATATTGTATAGCTTCCTATTAAAAATATAAATTTAAAAGAGAGATTTGTGAGGGGTGTACTTCTATATGCTGAGCACTGTATGTACTTAATTAGCAATCTCAAGAAATGTATATAGGGCAACGTTTTCAGAATGAGCCTATGTTACCCAAAACAACCTCAAAGTTTGTATTGATTTAGGTCATTTTGAATAAGTAGTTTCAAGAAGCAAGAAAAATTTTTTTTTTTTTTTTAGTAAGATCTATAGTTTATAGCTGAAACTGTAGACCACCAAGGACTAAAACCCGTCTTTAATGCTTTAATGTTCTACAGGACCAATAATAACTCTTACGTCCTACATGATTATTCAGTTTGAGTAAATTAAAAGCTGATTAAAATTTTGGGGGAAAATATCTTAATAACTGTGCTTTGAAACGGCCAGAGCAAGCAAGGGAGAAAGACATACAATGAAGGAAACAGTGAGAGCGTTAGGGTTTACTTTAGATAAGCTATGGGATTTGATGGACAGCATGGCAGCGGTTTGAAGAGAGCAGAGGAGCAGGTTTCACTAAGTTACAGTAGAGTCTTTGTTTAAGACTTTATTATTGTTTTTACTGAAGCACTACCACAGGGAGCTGAAACACACCCTCACATAGAGAGTGTTGATGAGTGTAAATTTGAGAACTGTCAATATTGATTTTGCAAAGCAGACATTGATTTGTCACGAGTTTGACAAGAATGTGATGGTGGGTTTCATCTCATTCTGTTTTTACTTTTTTCTTTGTTTTTCCACCATACACACACATACAATGATCATAGCAGATTGCTGTTTTTCATTGTCCGATCCAATTTATGTAAACCATGGATTATAATTCCTTTAACGTTTATGTGTGATGAGGACAGCATTTTCCCAATGTCTTGACCAGATTTAAAATAATAACACGAGACTGGAAATGCAGATTTTAAGGAAATATTTTTAACACATGTAGACTGATGATAAAAGTTGCTGGAACAGTAAGAAGGTCAGTGTTAAGTAAAATAAAAGAGATGTTCATAGCATAGCACGGACACAAAAACAGTTTAATCTCATGAGAAATTCAGGATGGGGGAAGAATGATTTAGGCCTGAAAATCATCCACATTTTATTCATTCCAACACATTACGTTTCCAGCAGACATATCGAATCAAGTCCAGTCCTGTCAATTGAAATATTAAAATACAGACAACTCTTAATTTAAACAGCATAGTTAAAAAAATATCTACAAAAGGTTGTGCTATTTCTGCCTTGACTTACAGACAATACAGCAAGGTCTCAAAAGTACTGAAGTACTGTTGAATTAGGTACTGCTTGAAAGACTCAATAAGATAACAAAAAAGTAAGAAAGAATAGATATGACTATTTTAGAAAAAGTGTATTATATTCTATAAGTGCAGATCAATGTACTGTATACGTTTGACAGCTGTACTGTCCATTAAAGTAGCTTAACTTTTTGTGTTTGAGATTATGATGGAATAGCACACACCTTTTGTAAAGTTGCTTTGAAACAATAATTATAGTAAAAAGTGTTATGCAAATAGACTTGAACCAAATTATGTAGTAAACATAAAACAGCATCAGCACATGTGGGTTTGCCTACATGCACTCTAAAAAAAAATTCCGTAAAAAAACGGTAAAATGTACTGGCAGCTCATTACACAAATATTTTACCGTAAATTAAAAACGGAAAACTTCTGTTAATTGACAGTGTGTTCACATTAAAAAAACTACAAAATATCCGTTTTTTGACGGTTAAACTACTGTAAAATAACGAAACATTTTATAGTAATTTAAGGGTTTTCTATATAAAAAAAACGGTTATTTTCTGTGTTTTTAAGGGTATACCAACAGTAAAAAAGCGGAAATATTTTGTGTTTTAATAGTATACCTATTGTAAAAAAACAGACAGATTCTGTGTTTTAATAGTATACCTACTGTAAAAAAACAGACAGATTCTGTGTTTTAATAGTATACCTACTGTAAAAAGAGGACTTTTTTGTTTTTTTAATAGTATATATACACAGTGAAAAAATGAACAGATTCTTTGTTTTAATGGGATACCTACTGTAAAAAAATTATTATTTTACTAATTTAATGCTCTTCAAGCAGCATAGAAATGGCAGTTGGTAAGGATAAACATATACATATGGGAAATACACTATTAATGGTTTACCATAGTAAAAAAAAAACATTTATTCTATACTGTATGTGTAAAGAAGCAGTAAATAGTTTGTTAACTGTGAACTTACAATTAGTACAAAAACAACTTTGCAATTAAAACAGATTCTTTAATGAATACAAATCATTTGAATTCCAAATAGCTAGTTATACACACAATAATACATATTGACATGTGAATCACACAGTGAGAGGTCTTGGCAAATAATCTCATAGCAAATTAGTTTTAAATGTTAGCTTTAAGATAATTGAGGACAAGTGGGCAAATTACAAGTACTTTACATTAAGAAACCAGGTTAAACTGCAAGATGGCAGGAAACAGACGATACAACTGGGTCTTCTTCCGCTCCAATACTGATACTTCAATGGCTGTAAAACAAAAACAACAAAAAAAAAAAACATTACTAATGACATTTCACTTACAACTGAGGTGATTCCTTGCATGTCAATAGTTTACACAAATGGAAGTTTTATCATCATCTTCTTGTCTCACTCTTGTAATTTCAAGCCTGTCTGACTGACATACTTCCACAGAACAAAGTAGGAGAAATAGGAGCAACATTCTTTAAAATATGATATTTTGTGTTTTGCAGAGGAAACAAAGTCATACAGGTTTAAAATGTCAAGAGTGAGTAAATTATGAATTATCAATTATTCAGTTTTGGGTGAGAAATCACTTTAAGATTTTTCAAAATAAAGTGTAGGTACTTTTGACAATATTCGGAACAATAATGCAAGAGAGAAACAGTAATATAAACAAACTATGCTGGTAACACTATAATAACTACAGGCTATGATTCATTTATGAAGCATTAGCAAATAGTGAATTCATTATCTGTTAAGCATTGACTCTAAATTAATAGATGTTAGCAGTTATAAATACATGTCGGTTATAAATACCGGATGTCGGTTATAAATACAGCTGCAAAATTTGCTACAGCTACAGTTTAATAATTGTGTTATCAAACTTTAATGATTGATTTTACATTACTATATATATATATATATATATATATATATATATATATATATATATATATATATATATATATATATATATATATATATATATATATATATATATATATATATATATATATATATATATATAATATTATATTTAATATTGCATTATTTACAAAACTTCTTCCAGTTGTGGCCTAATCTGTGAGGATTATTCATGACTTATAAATCCTTATAAACGACAGTTAAAGGCTCAGTATCAAATGAACATTCTTATCTAAACAGTCTTATCTAAAAAATGTAATTACTGTAAATATGAAACCTTGCTGAATAGCTGGAGTGCCAAAATATAACATAAAACAGGATAAAACAACACTAAAATAATTTAATGATATTACGATGCAACATTTCAGTGTTATTTAGCTATGTTTAAACTGTACAGTAATTTTATTTTAGATAAGATTTATTTTTCATTTAATACAATAAAATGAATTTCATTTTTAGAATATAACTGAATCTTTAATTGTGATTTATAAGGGGATTTACAAAGCATAAACAATCCTCACTTTAGGCTACAAAACTGGATGAAGTTAACAAAAGCACTTATTAAAATAAATATTGTATATACTTTATATACTTATTTTTTGTACTTTATTTACAAATATAACTATTACAATTCATTCATGTATTTTCCTTCAGCTTAGTGTGTACTCACACTATGTATAGTTGCCTTAAACCAGGCCGAAGCACTCTTGTCTTCCCTCCCGTCTCCCCTGACGTCCCACACTCACATTGCATTCAAGCCTGAGCACTCTTACATCATCGATGATGCGCTGTTTAGTTTAGGAAGTGCTCTCAGCACGGAGGAGAATTCTTTAGTTATATTGTTTTAGTCATTTGGGATGCAGTAACACGCTGTCAAATATTTCGCCGAACAGATCAGCCACTTTTGATGTTAATAAACAATCATAAATTCCTTGTGCTGCAGGAATAGGAGGTTTACTAAAGGCGCAGCTGTGGTGCAGTAAGGGGTTTGCGTTCATTGAACAGTAATAGTGATTAATTTATCCAAATCAAAGTCCCTTGCAAACTGTCATAGATTAAAGACACAAACCCCTCACTGCACAACAGCTGCACCTTTAGCAAACCTCCTAGTACCTGCAGCACGTTGACTTTGATTGTTTATGAGCGTCAAAAGTGGCTGATCTGTTCGGCGAAATATTTGACTGCGTGTCACTGCATATTGAACAACTAAAATGATATAACAATATAAAGAAATCTCCACTGTGCTGAGTGAGAGCACTTGTTAAACTGAACAGTGCATTATTGATGATGTAAGCATGCTCAGGCTCGAATGAAATGTGAGTGCAGGTCGTCGGGGAGACAAGCACGCTTCCAGTTTCAAGGCAACTGTGGATAGCATGAGTACGCCCTTGAAAACACCCATACACACTTATTTACAAACACACTCATACACTACAGCCAATTTAGTTAATCAATTTCCCTATAGCTTATGTCTTTGGACTGTGGGGGAAACCTAAGCACCCGGAGCTCTACTTGCTGTGAGGCAACAGTGCTAGCCACTGTGCTGCCCAACTATTACTATATGCCTGAATAATAAGATATATAAATGTTAGTTTGAATAGTTTATTAACCATTTACTTACACATTCTGAATGATTAGAAAAAAAATACACCAACTATTCTTAAATCACTGGTTTATAAATAATGCTATACTAAATTTAGTAATGAAAAATTAATCATTAACAAAATATAAAAACAAAATCATTAAGCACATTATAGATGTGCTTATAAGTCAAGATTACAGCATTTGCAGCTGTAGTTATAAACTGTATACTAAGGTCTATTAATGTAGAGTTAATGCTTAACAGAACTTTTTGCTAATGCTTAATAAATTAATCAATAGTGTTTAGTTATTATAAAGTATTACTGGTGTGCTTAATTACCTTTAAATCTTCCAAGGATTCTGAAAGTCTTTCTGGTCTGACAGGAATCGAAGGAGTTTAGATGGTATGTTTCTGCTTGGTGCTCTTTTTTTCTGCTTTGGACCTAGATTCTGGATAGTTACTCAGCATGCTCCTGTTGTAAATACAACAAACATGTATCAACTTACTTGTCTTATAAAAATGAAATAAACTTAAAAATGTAAAAACAGACCTTCATATAAACTCCAGAGTCAGGGCTGCTTCCTTAGGCTACATAATGTTTAGCACATAAGAGACTAAACATGTAGCTCACCACAATTAGGGGACAGCCCAATGATCTTGTTATTGTGACTGTGGACTCTTCTTCTGAAAAAAAGAAAAGTGAGTTGTGTGTTGGGTCTTGTACACGTCCACATGGAAAGAACCTATATAAACATATGGTTTAATATAGGTTTTGATTTATGTTTTTGAAATATGTGACAAATATAAAATTGGCTGTTTTCCTATATTACATGTACATATATGGGTACATATATGCACACCTATATGTTAAATTATTAATATTATAAATAATATTATAAATATTATAATTATTATGTAAAATTATTCAAATACATGTCTGCTACATAATTTAAAAGAAATTAAAATATATATATTTACTTAATCAAATATTACAAGAAATAATTATAGTGCAAGAACAAAAATAAGGCAAAAAAAAAAAACAATAAAGGAAAGAAAACAAAATTTAAAAAAATGACAAACCATTTTGTTTTACATTTCTTTCTTTTCCACTATCTTTATACAAGAAAGAATTGACCTTGAAAATGTTTCAGGAAAACGTGTAGACATCATAGCTTTCCATCTCCTCTCACTTATTTGCCATAGTTAAATTCCATAACATGCCAATAACATGTGATACAAAAGTCAAGTGGCACATACATAAGTTTTTCGCATTTTTTAAGTTAGTTCTTACCCAGAGAGCAAACCTACGTTAAATTAACATTGAATAAATGTTAAAACATCAATCAAACTATCATTGAAACAACGTTAAAAAGTCACCACTGATTTTTAGGCAGTTTTCCACCCTGAAATAATGGTAATTCTATGATGATAAATAGACAAAACTGTCCCAAAATCAGCTTTTATTTAACCAAAATTAAATCTTTTTTTTTTTTTTACAATGAACCCAACATTAAATAAAATGTTAAATCAACCACACTATCATACAATTAATGTTGAAATTTAAATTTGATTTTTAGCCAGTTTTGCATCCTGAAATAATGTTATTACAATGACGCTAAATAGATTAAACGGTCACAAAATTAGCATGAAGGCCTGGCTCACCATCAAGATGCCCACATTGAAATTGTCTCTCTCATCATCAGGTGGCTAAGAGAGAAAAGAAAAGAGATTCAGCAGTGGACCAGTTATTTCCTTATCACTTTAAGCAGACATTACCAAAATAAAGAACTTGTAACATTTCAAATGATGCAAAAATAAATAATAATAATAAATAACTGCTTGGTTTATTTAACAGATTATAGTAGCAGCTTAAAAAACCCAGATAAAACACCCACATCAACCCAGTACTTTTTAGTTTGAATACATGTTAACAAAATTCTAAATTACTGAAGCAAAATGTGTTCATGTAAACACTTAGTAAAAATATAGGTACAAGAAATTGGTTTTGCCAAATAATAAAAATAAAAGCATCAATATAAAAAAAAAACCCTGACCATTTTACCTCTTAAGCTTGAAAGTTTACTGTCATCCCCTGTACTAAGTACAGATGGTCCAGCACAACTGCCCGAGTTCTGAAAGAGCAAACACATTCTTGGTAAAATGACAATAGATGCAATGCTAAATATAAATCATTTTTTATTTTTTGTATTATTTATAAAAATGCAGTACTGACCAGTCAGCATCAATTTTTACACCAACACACCTACAACAAAAATAACACTCATTCAGTTTGAAACATGCAACATGTAGTCTACTTTTATACTTTACATACTTTGTGAATAATAAAAAAATGAAAACATTTAAAACCCCAGCTGTATTTTATTTCATTTGTCTATATCAATTCAAATTTAGTTTGGATTGAACGTAAGATTTAATATTTTTATTAAGATTGCTGTGAAAATGTACCTGTACCTTGTACTTATATCCAAAATTACAGAACCTGGAAGTCAACAAAGCAAAATATCAGTGAACCTTATATGTACAAAACACTTAAAACCAAACAGAAAAAACGCTGAACATTTTACCTCTTAAACTTCAAAGTTTACCGTCATCTCCTGTATAAGGTACAGAGGGTCCAACACAACTGCATGAGTTCTGAAAGAGCAAACACATTCTTGGTAAAATTACAATAGATGCAATGCTAAATATAAATCATTGTTTATTTTTTTGGTTAAAAAATGCAGTACTGACCAGTCAGCATCACTTTTTACACCAACACACCTACAACAAAAATAACACTCATTCAGTTTGAAACATGCAGCAGGTAGTCTACTTTTAAACTTTAAACTTTGTAAATAACAAAAAAATGAAAACATTTAAAATCCCAGGTGTATTTTATTTAATTTGTCCATATTAATTTAAATTCAGTTTGGATTGAATGTAAGATTTAAGATTTTAATTTAGATTGCTGTGAAAATGTACCTGTACCTTGTACTTATAACCAAAATGACAACATAAACATAAAGCAAATCTTATATCATATATCAGTGAACATTATATCTACAAAACACTCAAAATCAAACAGAAAAACCCTGAACATTTTACCTCTTAAACTTGAAAGTTTACTGTCATCTCCTGTATAAAGTACAGAAGGTCCAGCACAACTGCCTGAGTTCTGAAAGAGCAAACACATTCTTGGTAAAATGACAATAGATGCAATGCTAAATATAAATCATTATTGTTATGGTTAAAAATGCAGTACTAACCAGTCAGCATCAATTTTTACACCAACACACCTACAACAAAAATAACACTCATTCAATCTACATTAAAAGATTTCATTTGCGATAACACCATGTGTAGTTCACTCTATTATCAAGGTTTATTCAAATAAAACTCCTGATCTTCTAATAGTAAAGAAAGTATTATTTGCTATAATGAATCGAACTGACAATTAGTTTGAAGAATTTTAAGACTGTGGAAGAACAACTCATCTTTATATCTTCATATTAGCTGCCCTTGAGGTTCTTAAAAGTGAATAAATAAATATCAATGACAGTTCAACTCGACTACAACAAACATTTAATTGTGTGCTTTAAGGTACACGTTGTAGGCTATTTGAGGCCGAAAACGCATGACAGTGTAAACACTATAAATACTTTTAAATGTCACACACTTACTGTATCACTCTGTTATCTCTGTACACACAAACACACGTCGCGAAATGCGGAAGTTTTTTTTTCGTTCCATTTGGCGAGCGTTATTAAATTCCATAACATTCTCATCAGTTCTTGCTTCTTATTTGCGTCTATTACCCCAGTTTGTCACGCGGGATGAATGAAATGTTCATGAGTTAAAGTGAAACTGCCGAACTGCAGTTAAAGTCAGGCATTCTGCTGATTTGATTCAGAAGGGCACTTGTTTGTCAGACGGCTCACCTGTCAGGTATACATCCGCGCTAACGTAAAATGTCAAAGTATGAAAGTCACCCATGAGCTGCAGCTCCCAACCCAACGTTGAGAATAGATTAACGGCGATATATATTTTTTATCGCGCGATAAGTCTCGCGTTAACGCAGCACGTTAATGCTGATAACGGCCCACCACTAATAATAACTTAACGAGTGTGTATTTCCCCTCATACCGAGTTACAAATGTCTCCAATTCACGCGAGTATAACTTATAACTTAACGTTACTTAAAAACCAGCAAAGCTGTTCCACTGAAACTCGGTCACACAGCCTTAATACACTGCGGTCAAGCCAGCCGCGGTTCGGAAAAACACAGTCAAGCCAGCCGCGCTTTATATTTTGGTGCGCGCGTATTATTATCATTACGGTAAAGTCAGCAGCCACACAGAGAGCGCTCCACAGAGCACCCATTTCGCCCAGAACAGAGAGATGACAACGAAATATAAGTTTATCCCCCTTTCCTCCCACGTATGCTTTATTAAACAATTTATTAGCTTTTTTGACTGTTGTTATTTTAAGAAATTGGTTTCTGGGCTTACCTTTAATTTCCTCAAGTTTATCTTTTTGCTTCAAATGATTTTATAGCAGATCAAACGGACAGAATAAATATACGATTTCTAAATACACAGAATGCGTTTCTACTTATCCTAGCCAACTACAGTACATTGCAAATAAGGTTAAATGCAATTTTATACAACGTGGCTAACCTCAGAAAGTGAAAACAATCATAAAGTAGTCCAACAAAACATTGTTTAAATTACAAATATATGTTTATTTTATTTAAAGGGGATTTAAAAGGTTATGTTTCTTTCAGTATATGGGATATGGGGCATCATTACACTTTAGATGACTGTAAAGACCTTATTATTTGTTATAAGTAGAATAGAACAACAATAAGATCTGATGCAGGAAGTCAAATACTAAGCATACATCATATGAAGCCTGTTTTACTGCAGCATTTTGGAGAAATGTACCATTAACACACTTTAAAGTGCTATAAAGAAATAAGTAGAAAAAAAACAAAGTTTGGTTCTGATACAGGATGTACATGCATACCTGATGTAAAAGACCTCATTTAAGTTAACAGAAGAAAACTATGGACAGGACATCCAATATTATATGCATACCTCATAATAACTTACTGCAGCATTTTGGAGAAATGTGCTATTATTGAGCTATAAAGTCTTTAAAGTGCTATAAATACATTGTTTGACATAAGTTAAATAAAAGACTGATCTGGTTTGATACTGGATGTCCCATGCCATATGCATATATACTACATCTGAATACTTTTTACTTCAGCAATTTGGAAAAAAAATTGCTCATTTAAAATATGTAGAAAAAAACAATAGTCAGGTCTGATACAGTACATCACATTCTAAACTTCAAATAAAGACTTATTACTGCAATGTTTTGGAGAAATTGGGTATTAGCATTACTCAGTGTTATAAAGACCCAATTTACAATAAGTAGACAAAAACAATGATCAGTTCCTGTACAGAACATCCCATGCTATATGTGTACTTCATATGAAATCATTTTACTGCACTGTTTTGGAGAAACGGGGTAATAACCTAATAAAAAGTGCTATAAAGACTACATTTCAAATAAGTAGGAAAAAACAACGGTCAGTTCATATACAGGACATACCATACTATATCTGTACTACACAAGAAAACTTTTAACTACAGAGTTTTGAAGGAACAGGGTATTAACATATTTTAAAGTGCTATAAAAAACCCCAATTAAAATAAGTAGAAAAAAACAATGGTCAGATCTTATACAGGACATCCTATGTGTGTACTTCACATAAAAGCTTTTTACTGCAGCATTTTAAAGAAACGGGGTATTAACATAATATAAAGTACTGTAAAGAGTTTATTTTAAATAAGTAGAAAAAAACAATGGTCAGTTCTTATACAGGACATTTCATACTATATGTGTACTTCACATTAAATCTTAATACTGCACTGTTTTAGAGAAATTGTATATTAATATGATTTAAAGTGTTATAAGGACCCTATTTCTAATAAGTAGAAAAAAACAATGGTCAGTTCTTATATAGGACATCCCATACTCTATGTGTACTTCACATGAAACCTTTTTACTGCAGCATTTTAAAGAGACGGGGTATTAACATAATATAAAATACTATAAAGACCCCATTTTAAATAAGTAGAAAAAAACAATGGTCAGTTCTTATACAGGACATCCCATACTATGTGTGAACTTCACATGAAACCTTATTACTGCAGTGTTTTGGAGAAATCGTATATTATTATATTTCAAAGTGTTATAAAGACCCCAATTTAAATAAGTAGAAAAAAACAATGGTCAGTTCTTATACAGGACATCCCATACTATATATGTACTTCACATGAAACCTTTTTACTGCAGCATTTTAAAGAGACGGGGTATTAACATTATATAAAATACTATAAAGACCGCATTTTAAATAAGTAGAAAAAAACAATGGTCAGTTCTTACACAGGATATCCCATACTATGTGTGGACTTCACATGAAACCTTATTACTGCAGTGTTTTGGAGAAATTGTTTAATATTATATTTCAAAGTGTTATAAAGACCCCAATTTAAATAAGTAGAAAAAAACAATGGTCAGTTCTTATACAGGACATCCCATACTATATCTCTACTTCACATGAAACCTATTTACTGCAGCATTTTAGAGAAATGGGGTTTTAACATAAAATAAAGTGCTATAAAGACCCCATTTCAAATAAGTAGAAAAAAACAATGGTCAGTTCTTATTCAGGACATCCCATACTATATATGTACTTCACATGAAACCTTTTTACTGCAGCATTTTAAAGAGAAGGGGTATTAACATAATATAAAATACTATAAAGACCACATTTTAAATAAGTAGAAAAAAACAATGGTCAGTTCTTACACAGGACATCCCATACTATGTGTGGACTTCACATGAAACCTTATTACTGCAGTGTTTTGGAGAAATTGTATAATATTATATTTCAAAGTGTTATAAAGACCCCAATTTAAATAAGTAGAAAAAAACAATGGTCAGTTATTATACACGACATTCCATACTATATCTCTACTTCACATGAAACCTATTTACTGCAGCATTTTAATGAAATGGGGTATTAACATAAAATAAAGTGCTATAAAGTCCCCATTTCAAATAAGTAGAAAAAAACAATGGTCAGATCTTATACAGGACATCCCATACTATATATGTACTTCACATGAAAACTTTTTACTGCAGCATTTTAAAAAAACGGGGGTATTAACCTATTATAAAGTGCTATAAAAACCTCTATTCAAATAAGTAGAAAAAACAATGGTCAATTCTTATACAGGACATCCTATACTATATGTGTACTTCACACTAAACCTTCTAACTGCACTGCTTTGGAAAAATGGGGTATAGATCTAATATAAAGTGCTATAAAGACCGAATTTCAAGTAGAAAAAAACAATTGTCAGTTCTCATACAGGACATCCCATACTATGTGTGTACTTCACATACAATCTTTTTACTGCAGCATTTTAAAGAAACGGGGTATTAACATAATATAAAGTACTATAAAGACCGCATTTTAAATAAGTAGAAAAAAATAATGGTTGATTCTTATATAGGACATCCAATACTATATATGTACTTCACATGAAACCTTTTTACTGCAGCATTTTCGAGAAATGGGGTATTATCCCATTATAAAGTGCTATAAAGACCACAGTTTAAATAAGTAGAAGACAACAATAGTCAGTTCTTATACAGGATATTCCATATTATATGTGTACTTCACATAAAGCCTTTTTACTTCAGTGTTTTGGAGAAACAGGGTATTAACATATTACAAAGTGCTATAAAGACCCCATTTCAAATAAGTAGAAAAAACAATGGTCAGTTCATATATAGGACATCCCATACTATGTGTACTTCACATGAAACCTTTTTATTGCAGCATTTTGAAGAAATGGGGTATTAACCTATTATAAAGTGATACAAAGACCGCATGTCAAATAAGTAGAAAAAAACATTGGTCTGTTCTTATATAGGACATCCCAGACTATATGCGTACTTCACATGGATTATTCTTACTGCAGCATTTTCGAGAAATGGGATATTAACATATTACAAAGTGCTATAAAGACCCCATTTCTAATAAGTTGAAGAAAACTATTGCCAGTTTTCATACAGGGCCTCCTATACTATACACATACTTCATGTGAAGACTTCTCACCAAATAATTTTGGAGAAATTGGGAAATAACAAAATTCAAGTGTTTTAAAGACCCCATTTTTTAGAAGTAGAATACAAAAATAGTCAGTTTTTGTAG